CTAGTTCTCATGTGAAACAGAAAAGACTTAGAAAATTCAACAATTGAAACATTCTGATGAAGGGCAAATACGACCCTCCTTTCCCCCCCCCCCTCCAGCGACCAAATACGACCTCCCTGTTGGGGATTCCCTAACAACGATGTGCCCTGGTTCAAACACGATTATGTGCGGTGTCGGCGCGGTAACGTTGCGACCGCGCTCCAGTGCTGTAGGCGGCGAAGCAGTCATAAACGTGTCCGACAATTTCTCCACCCATTTGCTTAAGCGGAATGTGCACGACACGATGATATGAAGAAAAATTTAAATCCCACGTCGATTTCCAAAAAATCGTGGCAATTACAGGTGTACGCAGACGACGCTTGGACGGAAATGATCAGCGCCAAAAGTGCGATCACCAATATCACGGCGCTGGATAATCAGGGCAAAAGTAAACGATCAAGCGATTGTGACTGCAAATCGAAGGATTGCGCTTGCTCAACGACGAAAAGCGAAGACTGCCCTGTGGGACCACCTGGGCCCCCTGGAGAAGCGGGAATCCCTGGTTTGGATGGAGTGCCCGGCAACGACGGATCTGCAGGTATCAAAGGAATGGCGGTAATGTCGGATAACGCATTCGGATGCGTGCAGTGTAGTGCTGGTCCACCTGGACCACCTGGTCCCGATGGAGATCCCGGTGAACCAGGAAAAGACGGTGTACCAGGAATTCCCGGGTCCAAATGGGCGTGATGGCAGTCATGGAGCACCTGGGGATCCCGGAGAACCTGGAGCACCAGGTGAACCGGGTGCACCTGGTGCACCGGGAAAACCCGGACACAGTAGCAAACGTGGGAAGGGCGCACCAGGGCCACCTGGTCCACCCGGTCCACCGGGACCAATCGGCAATCCGGGACCTGATGGGGAGAACGGTAAGGACGGACGGCAGGGACCCGAGGGCCCGCCCGGTGAACCGGGTCTGGCGGGGAAGCCTGGAGACGATGGACAAATGGGGATACACGGAGAAGAGGGCCTGCCAGGAATGGATGCTGCCTATTGTCGATGTCCACCACGCAGTTCACAGTTCTCTGAAGATCATCAGGATCCACATGTTAATCTGGCTAGCATTCTTATTTGAGAACTTTTTAATCGGAGAGTTAATAAATGTGTTAGGTTTAACATCATGGAGAAACTTTAAAAACCGAAGATGAATAAAAAACACCCAGTCGATGGAAATTACTGAAAAACGACTTGGAGGAAGCAACTTTCAATTGAATAACTACTGAGCGCTATTAGGCTTAGGGGGGGGGGGGCGCTTTGGCACTTTCGCTAGTTCCTTCTCCTAGTTCATGTCAGATAAAATGCCTCACTTTGATGAGACCTGAAAATTCCTGTGAAGCTGCAAAATGGTTCTAGTGAGTCACATTGGGCACAAGAGTTCGCAGGACTTCACAAGCTGGTCTGTAAGGCTCAGATGGATGCCATTCGGTACCCTCACCCCCTCAAGCCGAACTGTGACATCTTGACCTGTACCAGATGTCAAAGAAGGAAATTTTGAGGGGAGGGTCGTATTTTGAAAACTTTTCTCTAACGGGAAAACTTTTCTCTAACGGGAAGACCTACCCTGTCTGTGATCAAGAGAAAAGTTCATAAATAAATAGAAAAACCGAGAAATTTTGCAGAAATGCCCATGATATCGACCCAACATAGAAAAATTCCAAGCTTAGGGTTCAACTTGCATTCATGTAAATGAGTGAAGAGGGCTTTTCCGAATAGAGAGAAGAACTCAATTAAAAGCCGATTCGGGAG